TAAAAAAAAAAAAGGAATAGAATAAATAAAATCTGCACATGTATAACAATTTGTGTTTTGTATATACCTGTGAGAAGTAAATATATCACGTTTCCCTGAGCTCCACTTTCTTTGTTGCAACTTTTGTTTGATATTGTAATGTGATGGGACCACGTGGACAGCGTTGTACATTTTCTCCCCAAAAAGTCTTTGTTTTGTGCACTGTATCCTGACCCATTGCCCTCTGGGTCCTTGAAGTGGGAGATTAGCGCCTGCTTGGGTGTGATTTGCTCCTTGCTTCTTATTAACCATCTATTGTCCTATTCTCCCCATCCCCTTTTTTGTGTTTGTTACTCTCTTGAAACACCTCAAAATTTGGGCACTTATATGACTGTATTGTGTTGCAAGTACTGTAAAACACTAACTAAAACATGAGTCTTGGAATTCATATAGTCATGAACTCAGTAAGGTGTTAGATATAGATGAACTTGTTACAATTGAGAATTTAAAAAAAAAAAGAAAGGAAAATTCACCTCATTGAAAAATTGTGACAATTTCTTTTGACCCAGCTGCAAGGGCAGGTGGTTAGCTTTGTTGGCACCATGCTGGGCCATGATGCTAATGAACCTGGCTCCAATTCCCATTGGAACATTCTTGAAAATTGGTTTTCTTGGGTGTTTTCAAGGATTTCCGTCTGCTTGGCTTGATTGGATCTGTTATGGACTCCAAATTTTGAGGTCCTCTTTCTTGCATACTTTGACGGATTCTGTTACAAATTGCCAGTGCAGTGGCAGTTGTTACTATACAGTGAAAGTTTCTCATCTCTGTTTTTGGTTTCTAATGAAAAGAACATTTATCCTTTATATTGTGTTTGATTAATCTTTTTACCAGCGTCTGTGATGTAGTGGTTGGGCATTTCACTGTCTGTGGGTTGGCGGGTGCTGTGGTGTGGTTTTCTCCTTCTTTCCTAGCAAACATCTATCGTCCTGATCTCTCCTCCTTTTTTATGTTAGTTACTCTCTTGTAACACCTCTAATCTTCGGCACTTATATGACCTTATTGTGTTGCAAGTGCCGTAAAACTCTTACTAAAACTAAACTAATTTCACAGTCCACACTGGAGACCCAAGTTTGATTCCCAATTGGGAAGAATTTCTATTGAGCTTCTCAATCTGGGGTCTTTTTACGAGGATGTTGTATTTGTCTCAGCCTGGGTTAGCCCTGAGAAGTAAGGTTGGAACCCACCTCCTATATATGCAAAATTATGTTAATGGCATAAAAACATCTTTATTAAATAAAAACAACTCGTAACTACAAAAATTAAAACAAAACAAAAATTAATCTTTATTTTTATTTTCTCTTCCTCGTTACAGAGATTTGTGGAGGAGTTGTTAAAGCAAGCCAAAACGTTATAGCGTGTGCTGTTCCGCATGGGATTTGCCTCCTCTTTCCGTTGTACTGACAGCTACATGTCTCAGCACTGTGCAGAGCGGATGACTCCACTGAGGCACAGACAGACAGACAGACACCGCACCGCTCCAGGGCCCGTTGTGTCATGATGGGCTCAACTCTTTCACCGCTGTCTCCTGGAGGGTAGTGTGTGTGTGTGTGTGTGTGTGTGTGTGTGTGTGTGTGTGTGTGTGTGTGTGAGAGAGAGAGAGAGAGAGAGTTTGTGTGTGATAAAGAGCAAGAGAGAGAGAGTATATTGACAAACATGTCTGTATATGAATGGTTTAAACTTCTGTTCTTTAGAAGTGAAGGTATAAGTGCATTTTGAACATATGAACAATTGTTTGCAATAGTGGAGGTTGATGATAGAAAGTTTGAGATGTTGACTAATGATGTATTTTAAGGTTTTTGGCTTCTACTGAAATTGTGCACTATAAGTTTGACTCTCCACACTTAATACTTCCTGAATACACTAGTAAATAGCTTGAAGAGAATACCAATTTTGAGTTCAGGAAGAAGAGAGAAACGCTCATTCTACAGTCATGCAATGCTGATGTAGTGTGAAATTTTTGTGCGATGCTCTATGTGCTGAAGTGCAAAGGATTGTGTCTCTGATTTTTTTTGGCTCTAGCTAGCTCAAATGTGCATTAACCCTGTATAATAATTATCCCAAGTTGTAATGTTCAACTCTCATGCAAGAGAATGTCCAGACCGCTTCCTCATTTTGATAATGTTTGCTCTCATCTTCCAGAACAAGCACCTGCCCAACTGGGTACCATAGCTACAATGTTGAATATCATTTTCTTATATCTGTAACTGGGTCTGATATTGAATAGGATGTGTTGTAAGCATCTGCTTCAAATCATGATATGATTGCGAATTTGCACAGAATAACCTTTCCCAATTTTTTTTCTTCCTTTTTTCAGTTTTGTAACAAGTTTTAACAATAGCTTGTTTTTGTATTACAAATGTTTGAAGGAGTTGCAGGTGTGAAAACTGCAGGAAGTGAACATGCCACTTTCCCTAGCTGTGTTTTTGTGGAAAAGAAAAACTAAGCTCACGACATGTCTTTGACTTGTTTTTCTTCCCCATACCTCCCTCAATTTTGTTTGTTTGTTTGTTCTGTCCTTTTACAGCGACATTCTTTCCAAATGATAATGTCTGTGCGCCATTTATCAATCACAATTCCTCACCTTCTTCCCTCACTTGATACTTGATTATTGTTTCCATCTCCATTGCAAGGAAATCTATCTTCGTGGAATTGGCTGATGATATTATTTTTAAAAAATTGTAGCATTACTTTCTGACAAATTAAATTAGAAGGGGTTTTTTTTTCCACCAAAATGTGCTGTGTGTGATGCTTGCATGTATTGTCATGGTGTGCTAGGTATAAGTCTGCTCTGCATGGACTTGATTCAAAGACTGCTGTAAATGTGTGAAAGGAAGAAAAATTAAAGAAACCTTATAATCAGGGAACCTTCATTGAGGGTGTTCTACACTGATCATGGTTTAGATTGACTTAATTGCGTTTCCTATTTGTTCCTCAAGTAAATCTTGTCTTGTAAAAGAGTGTATATTTACTCATGTGTGAGAAGTTAACCAGCATTATGCATGTATTGATCTGTGTTTTAGAGCCTCTCCCCCCCGAAAAAGCCTCCATCCCACTCACGTATGTGTGCCTGCTGTAATGTCTAGAGAGTGCTCCAGCAGTAAAGACTGTTTTGTGATTAGTTACTGTAAGACCTTTATACAAACTCAGAATGACATACCCACTCAATTTCCAACTGCTTCCGCCTTTTTTTTGTTGTTGTAGGTTTTAAGTCTCTTGATGGCGTCCTAAACTCTTCTGCTTTCTGTGGGCATATTTCTGTCTTGGAAGAGGACGTGTTGTTTCAGGACTCTACTATAATGGAGCATTTCTTTACTTTCTACCCTACTGTGAGAATGTATTGTACAAGAAGACAATGACAAGTACACCATGTATCTGTGATCACAGCATGTTCACATATTTGTCAGTTGTGAAATGTTCTCTGTATTCAGTTTTTCCTGTTTTAAGCTCCGTTCCCCTCACGTGTGAATCAGCATTATCAGAACAACTGCTGTGTGATCCTGACCTTTTCGTTTCCATTTTGAAAGGTTAGGCACGTGTTTCATTACTGTGACTAGTAGTGAGGCTGGCTATTTTTTCATAAAAGTAATTTTTATGAATTTTTGTTATTCCCTCTCCTCTTTTGAGATAAGGAAAAAGTTCTGCTCAGTACTTAGTTTTGAGTGCAGTATTGCCCTGTACTGTTTGTGGATCTCATTGTTTAATGTTAGATGGTTGGAAGTAAATAAAGCATAAGACATGACCACACATATTTACGGAGGGACAAACCACTACAGGGCTTCTCTGGCTATGCAACTACTGTTATGTTGAAAAAGAGGAAATTGACAATGGGTCGAACTATGAGTCCAACTAGCAGAGAAGCACTGTCGTCCCAAAGTATCGTGGATGTATGTTAGTTCTTCAGAGAAGCACTGTCGTCCCAAAGTATCGTGGATGTATGTTAGTTCTTGACAGCCACCTTTAGATTTAGTCATTTTTGGAGGGGAAATATATTTTTGTTTTTCAAAACTGAAATATAGTAAGAGACATCTTTGTTTGTTTGAGATGGACAAAGTTCTCTCCTTATGTTTGATTAAATAAAGGGGTGTCCGGAATTAGTTGTGCCTTATTGTCAGTAATCAGGAACTAAATTCATTGTCAAGGAGTGCATTTGAAATGGGTTTTGTGCATGTTGAGTCGAGGTTCCAGTCCTTGTATAGAAAGCCAAGGCATCGTCTAATGTCCAGAGCTAGTCTTGTTTTTTGTGATCTATGCCATGATGTAACACTGTTTGTAGACTGATTTCACTGGCCATACGTTTGTAGTGAAGTATGCAGATTTATTTGTGTATGGTTATCGTTTGTTCTGTGGGTAGTCATGTACATATTTTTGTATTATTGATGATTTCCTGAGAGGTTGTTTTCTCTTTTTAGATTTTTGTTTTGTTTGTCTGTTCACAGCTCATTTTGAGAGATTTTTTTTAAAGATTGAGATAGATTAGCTGTTGCCATAATGTTAAAATTGAATTGAAGAGAGTATTGAAGAGGGAAAGGGGTTTGTGTTTTGTTTGCACGAGCATATACGTACACCTGTGATTGCATTTCTACATGTGTGTGTGACTGATTTTTTTCACATATTGGTGTGGTGTGAAAATGATTGCTGATGGCAAGATCAAAGCTCTTCTTGAATATTTTTTATGTGAACAGTCATAGGGTATAGGCGATGTTTCTGCAACACTAATTATGTGTAGGTTCTTTGCCAATATTTTATGTCTATGTTGCTATAAACAGAGTGGATGGGAGCACTATTTTATTTTGTAAATGTATCAAGTTCGTTGCCTTATTTTTTTTAAATTTTTTGTGTCCAGAAATCAGTTGTGCCAAAAAACATTTTCATATTGGTGTTCATATCGTTTTACGCCTCTTTTGTTCACCAGGACTTTGCTAATGTTGTTTGTGATGCTGAGATACTGATGAGTGTGCCTTTGTGTTACATTTAATTTTGCTTCATGAGGTGGCATTATCACTGTTTTGTTGATTTTGTTTTCTTCCAATTCATGGAATCGTGGTCCCTCCCTTCCTTTCTCAGGAGTCCCTCAAATATCCACATGGAGATTTAGGATCTTTCTCACAGTCCATTGAAACAAAAAAAGCTTCTAAAGCTATTTTGTTTGGGGTACTTTTTTTCGGCAGTTTGAGCAGATAGTCAAAGTATGAAGCTAATATACCTCATTTTTCTTTTCATCTATTTGGAACTATCTTTACAGCAGTAAAATTTCTAGCTGTGAAGTAGCTTCTGGTTTTTGTTTTTTCCTCATTGAATTAAGATTACAAAGGCCTTCTCGATCCAAGCTAGCTAAAAAATTATTTTCTGCCTAACATTGCTGACCGTGAGTTGATCTATGCAATGGGTTGTTTCTTACAAATCTTCAACAAGTAAGTTTATATGTTGCCATTTCAGTTTGCTGTTTGGTTGTTTTTTTTGTGGGTTTTTTTGGTTGCTTTAAAAAAAAAAAGAAGATTTCTACCGGTTTATTACATCTTAATAAGGGATGAATTAAGTTGTAGGTTTTTATCCGTAATTATTTATTAGTTTTTTTCTTTGACGCAGGTAAGGCACTTGGCTAGAGGCTTACTTGTATGTCTTGTATGTAGTGTCTCACGAACCTCGTCCACCCCCCATCCCCACCCCCTCCGGAATGATTTTTCTAAATAAGTGGATACTTGTTGTTGCATCGGAAAATTGTAAGACAAGCCATCAGTACTTGTTTCATGGCAAACAAAATTTTAGTTGTGATATATATAGAGAATATACAAAGAACTGAGGTAAGCTTTTTCATTGGGCTTTTAAAAAATATTATAACAGAATGTTGTGATTTCTGTAAGCATGTTTTTATCTGAGAATGTTATGCTGTACTATGCTCTTGTTGTGAGATTAGTATTGCATATGCTGCTGATTTTGTACAGTTTATACCTGCAAGTTGCTGAATTTTTAACCCTGATATTCCTCTCTAAAGATCTGCCTTACTGTGAAAATATGAAATCCCTCCCAACAATCTTTTTTTTTACTGTATCCCCCTTTGTGTTTCTAAAAATTTACGTTCCGGCTTTCTCGTTTAGAGTCCCATTTCAGATGTCATGTGCTGCTTATTGATCTTTGGTTATCTCTTCTGTTGGGTCTGAGGCGACTGCCTTGAGCGCAGTTTCTTCCTGTTGTGAGTATAGAGAGATGGAGAAATATAAGTTTGCAGATGGGACTGCAATGGCTGTTTTTCATGACATTTTTAGACGTAGCTTTGATTTTGTACGAATGGAGATTCTGTAATGGGTGTGGCAGAGTTTATAGAGTTGAGTGACATTAAATTTTTGAAAGTCTGTGTGCACAAATGTTCTTGACTTGTTTGAGTCATTTCTGCTTTAGAAACTGTAATTTTTTTTAAATGGGGGGGTCAATTAATTTTTCTTCTTGGAGTTGAAAGGGGTTTTGCATTTTATGAGGCGTCTTGAAATTAGTACTTTTATTGTTTGTTTTTTTTCTCCTGAGAATTAAGTTTGAGAGGCAAATCATTCTAAACATTTAACAGTGTTATTGAAGACGTTGTTTCTCCTGGAGTGCCCCAGTTGTCTCTGATTGGCATGGAAATTTCCTCAGCAGTCAGATGGCCAGGAAGTCCTCTCTTGAATAGTTAATGAGGAGCAAGTGGCCTCTGAATAATTAGACCTCTGGTTATTTGCTGCGCCATTGATCAGCGAGCTGCAGCTAGGCAGGAGAAATCCATTCCGGGGAGAAGTGGGAGAATTGTTTTGAAGACAGTGAGTGTTACATAATAGTCTGATCATTTTCTGAAATGCATGTTGTTCCACTGGTTCTCTGTGTGTGCATGAGCATACACGAGTGTGTGTGTGTGGTGTGTTTGTGTGTGTGTGTGTGTGTGTTGCACATGTATATTTATATAAGTGCTTGTATGTGTGTGTGTGTGTGTGTGTGTTGCACATGTATATTTATATAAGTGCTTGTATGTGTGTGTGTGTGGTGTGTGTGTGTGTGTGTGTGTGTGTGTTGCACATATATATTTATATAAGTGCTTGTATGTGTGTGTGTGTGTGTGTGTTGCACATGTATATTTATATAAGTGCTTGTATGTGTGTGTGTGTTGCACATGTATATTTATATAAGTGCTTGTATGTGTGTGTGTGTCTGGTGGGAATGCGGAGCACTAAAAGTGTTCTGTAGTAACTGTAGCTGATCTTTACCTGTTTGTCCAGGAAATGTGACAAAGACAAGTCTGTTTACTCCTAACCGTTGTTGTTGCTTAACCCATGACATGTTCTTGGACAAAAGAGAAGTGTATTTCTCTTTCATTCTTGACTTGATGCGTGGCAGCTATGCATACTCTCTCCCTAGCAGTTCATGTTTTCAGCTCTGTTCCTTAGAATGGTCATTTTAGATATTGTGAGCTTTTATGTCGGTGCGAGAATTCTACTGTTGGAGTATAAGATGATTTGTGTAGACTCCTCCATGTCTTGAGCCATAAGTTGTTATGAACTGGAGCTAATGTCGCTCCTTTTGAAAACAAAGCCCTTACAATACTACAGATCATTCTGTTTTTCCTTAGTTCTCTCACCAGATCCTGTCATAACATATTGCCGTGACATCTTTTCATTTTGATCTGAAATCCCTCAGTGTACAGTAAGGTGTGTGAGCCTGGCCCTATCTGATGTCAGGCTTACGCCCGACGAATCCTAGATTGTCACCCCTGTATGATCTACGGGCCTACCATATCAGTCCCCACATTTTTCACAACACTGCTCTGTTCCTTCTATTGGAGATTTTTAAAATCTCACATGGCTCTTGGTCCTATTAGAGGTGGATGTATGATAGAAAGCCCTTGACTTTTATGGTCAACAGTGACATTTAGGCCCGCCCTTTCACACCAAGATAAACTTTTCAAAATGAGCCATAGGGGTGTCCAAATAAAGATGATTGGAGGGTACTGTTGGCAAGTTCTACTTCTGTGCTATCTTTTTGCGACTATCCTGCCTGTCCCCTGCTCCTTTACGATGTTGTTGAAGTTTTCTTGGGCTCAGGTTTAGTCTGTCTGCTGAGGTTGGTAGGAAGGCTGTGCCTAGTTTCCCTTGTGGAAGTGCTTTTTCTGAAATGTGGGCTCTTTCATTTTAGTTTCAGGTATATTGTCCATGACACATCTGACACTGATTTTAGTGCAAGAGCATCATCGATCATTGTTTCTGTTATTTTATTTTCTATTTATTTCGCCTGCACTGTACTTCGCTTTTTTAAAAATCTATACACAAGAAACATTTTGAAAGGGCATTTTTTTAAATTCGATATCTGGATTAGATCTATTGCCTTTTATAAAAACAATTTTCAAAAACACACTGAATTTTTGCTTTGTCTAAAGTGGTTTATGAATGAACGTTTCTCTTTTTATGTACCACATACACATGATGTATCATCATTCATTTAATCATTTTTTTGGTATTATTATGAAAGTCTGTTATATCCCCGTCTTGGAATAATTTTATCCCTCATAATGTTGGTTTGACTGTAATGCTATTGCTGAATCATGTTTACACGAGTTTCTTATAAAAATATCCCTGCTTGGTTCGTCAAATGTTGGTGTTATTTCTAAATTTTTAGCCAGGAATGTTTTTGTGTGTACATATATTAGGATACGACAGATAGATCAAATGTTCATATGACTGGGATTTCTGTGTGTGGTTCTTTCTTTTTCTCTAAGAATGAGGGCCCATTCACTGGACACCAGTGTGACTGTTGAATGTGAGTTTGAATTAAAAAAATTTGAGGTTGCAGGCAAGGGGTGAAATATGTTGACTCTACAGAACATAATAGAACTATTGTGCCTCCCTTCTGTTCCCAATGGTGAGAGTTACTGTTGCTATGGTTATGCTGAACTCCTCATACAAATGTTTTGTTGGACAGAACAGATCTGTCCAGTGTACGTATTGTTTGCCTGTTCTTGTGCATATCCTGGATTTGTGTGTGTTCTTGAGAAAGCTCTTGTGTGTTGTTTTAATCTGCGTGCAAGTCTTTGGATTCTGTGAGTAGAAATAGGGTTTTGAATTGGGGGTGTGGTGTTGTGAGAAATCGTTGAAATGTACCTGACGATTGTACAATACAATTATATAAAGGTTATTCATTTTAATAGCAAGTGTCAATAAAACGAACTCGAATTCTTATACAGTGTTTGACCTCCTTTATTTCTGAAGTCTGAAAATATGAACTGCTGTGGAAGGAAGAATGAGACTGAATGTTTCCCTGGTTTTTTTCCTTTTGTTGTTTTTGCAATATTTGATACCACACTAGCAATCTCGTGTGGTTGCTGGACACTGGTGTGGTCTGCTTACTCTATTTGTGGGTGGTTGGCGGGTGCTCTGGTGTGGTTTGCTTCTTCTTTCCTATCAAACATCTATCGTCCTTATCTCCCCTTCTTCTTTTTTATGTTTGTTACTCTCTTGTAACACCTCTGATCTTCTGGCGCTCATATGACCTATTGCAGTTGCGAGCTTCGTAAAACCTCTACTAAAAATAAAAACTCACTCTATTTCTTTGAGGTGTTTCTGGTGTTCTGGTCTCTGGGGGTGGTTGTAGGGAGCTCATTGTTGGTCCTACATCTTTTCTTCCCTTTGTACCAGCATCTCTTTAGTTTTAGTTTTAGTAAGAGTTTTACAGCACTTACAACACAATAAGGTCATTACTCATATAAGTGCTGAAGAATGGATGTGTTACAAGAGAGTTACATACAATACAGAAAAAAGGAGGAGAGACAAGGACGATAGATGTTTGATAGGAAAGAAGGAGCAAACCA